CGACGCCGACGCCACCGCCGCCTGTGGTGGGTGTGCAAAAAAACCGACATCAGCATTGGCATCCGCAGCAGCTGCGACGCTCTGCTGCTGCCCGCAATGACAACGCAATTTGGGGGAGTCAGCGAGAGTGAAAGAGCGCGAGAGAGCGCGCTAAACCGGTTGGCAGCTGAACATAAAAATGCCGGTTGCGGAGCTTTTGCTGTAGTAATAATTGAAGTGAGAGCGCAAGCGAAGCAAGCAAAGAGAGCAAAGATATGACAGGGCGCACGTCTGCCGATCGTTTTCGCTCTTCTTCTTTTGTCCAGCTGTCGGCTGTTGTCTTTCGTGGTGCAGATGCCGGACGATTGACTGTTAACGGTAAACGCATTATTGGGTGGCTTCTCTTCAAATAAGGCAGCAGAGTCAATTGCTGTTGTTGTTTGTTTGTTATTTTTTTATGTTCTTTTTTGCTGATAATGTTTTTTCAGAATTGCGCGTTGCGTGTGCTACATATGTACGCGTATGTATGTATGTGTGTGCACATGTATATATATTTGTTAGGGGGCGGGCGTCACACTGCTAAATTGCCAAAGCAAAGTCGTACTTTTGACTGAGCGTATGTATGTAAGCATACTTATGTATGTATGTATGTGCAGTTAAATGTATATTTGTATATTTGTAAACACACACACATGGACAGTTTAACACCGTGGGCCGAGCCGACCCGATGGCAGCTCAGGGTGAGCAACAACATTACTGAAAGCTGTTGTTGTTGCGGTGAACGGTGAAAGGCCAAGATACGCGGGAGAAGCGAAGAGAGAGAGAGAGAGAGAGAGAGAGAAGAGGAGCACCGATTGGGAGGAGGGCGACCAGCAGAGAACAAGCAATGGACAACGGCAGCGGCAGCGGCTGCGGCTGCGGCAGCTAATGACATGTTAACGCCAAGCAGCAGCCGTCTGTCGGTCCCAAAGCCACACGCAGTTATTAAAAAGTGCTTTTGCGCGATGGCCTGCACAGTGGGGCGAGTTAATTGGAAGGGCGGCACCAGACCAAATACACATAAAAGTGAGCAAAGCGAGCAACTTCGAGTGGCACACGCAATGCAAACAACTTTTTAATCTTTACATATTTGTGCATATTAACACTTAGTAGATACGAGTTTAATTTAATAATCAATTATTTTAATACATACAAAACTAAACTAAATTCATAGAAAGCTAAAATTTTATTATTCTGCTGGTTATAATATAAAGATTAAAGCTTATCTAATGCGAAATGAGAATCAACAAAAGTTCTATTGTTGGTTTTATAAGTATTTTATACATTAACTCACTGTAAAATTATTATTTCAATTATTCAATAAATTATTGTAATATTTAAGAATAAGTGGATATTTTTGTTCCATCTCAGATAATAGTTTATTTATTTTCAATCAGCAAAAATAATTTCAGTATCTCCAGCGCTTGCATTTCTAACAACTTGTACCACTGTCTTGCGCCTCTGTCTGGCATTAACAGCGCGACCGATACATCGATACACAACAACAACAACAACAGCAACAAGTTGTTAAAGTGGGTGGCTGTCTAACAGCTGTTGTGTCCAGCTAAATTCAACGATCGCTCGAACGACAGCAATATAAAATCTTCAATTTTATATGCGCAACAGCAGCAACAACAACAAACAACAACAGCAACCAGGGGACGCAACGTAGATGATTTTCTTGGCTGCTTCACACGCCTACGCAGCAGCAGCAGCGGCGCATGCGTGTGGGCTGCTTGCATTGGTATTGTTGTTGTTACGTGGGAGGGAGTGGGGTGGCCACAGCAAATTTTACAAAATATAAAACAAAAGGGAAATAAGCAAAATAGCTGAATATATGTATGTATGTATGTATGTGTAGTCAATATGTAAACGCTGCATTTACGATTCGTCTTCATTTCGGTTGTTGTTGTTGCTGTCGTTGCTTTGCACTTTTGGCAGCTGCGCCACAGACATCCGCCAGCGCCGCTGCGGGCTGTGTCTATGTGTGCGTGTGTCTCTCGATGTCTCGGTGTGTGTGTGAAGGCGCAGAGGGCAGCTTTATATGGGCGGCAGGTGGTAATTTTTGTGGCCAGTCGAAGACAACAGCAAAACGATGCGACGGCAGCTGCTGCTGCTGCTATTTTTTTCTTTTTTGCCTCTCTTTTTGGCGTCTTCTTTTTGAGCTGAGCTTTGGCCCAAGATGAGCGGACAGACAACAAAGCAATAAGCGCAGCACTTTAAAGCTGGTTTCCTAAGGTGTGTGTGTGTGAGTGCTTGTATATGTATGTGTAATATCTCTGTCTGCTTGTTGATTTTTGGGTGGTGCTGGTAGCATCGCCTTGTGGGCGTTTGCTGCAGCGCCAATAACAACAGCAACATTTACCACAGCAGCAGCAACAGCAACATTCACAGCAGCAACATCTTCAAGGGCAGCCATTAGTTCAGTTCAGTTCAGTTCGCTTCATTTCGCTTCGATTCGAACCAAGTCATATATAGCATTTCAGTTGTCTCTCCGACTTCAGCTTTTGGCTATGCTTATTATTATTGCTGCCGCCGTTGTTGTTGCTGCTGTTGCTGTTGTCTTATTTTTTTGCTGGCAGCTGTTGGCAGGTGCGCGCCCTCATAAAACGTTGTCGAACGACCCAAAATGCAGGCGCTGCTGCAACAGCAACAGCAGCAGCAGCAGCAGCAGCAAAAGGAAAAAGAAAATGGCGATCTCTGCGTCTGGCGTCCCTCTTTCAAGTGCCAGTTGCACCCTCCTACTTGGTCTTCACCTCCCCTACTCCTCCTACTTCTCATCCTCATCCTCCTCCTCCTGCTTCTGCTTCTCTCGCTTTTCTTATGAAATCTTTGCCTTTTACTTAAAATGCTGCCCAAGCAACATGTGCATCGCCTCAGCACTGACTGTCTGCCTGTCTGTCCTACGATCTCTGCCCCTCCTGGGGTAGCAATTTATGCCGCTGTTGTTTCACATTTAGGGGTGGTTTTTTTTTCCGTCGTGTTCAATGTTAGTTCTGGTCGCAGGGTTGGCGAGCAGGTTGCAGCTGCCGCCAGAGGGAGCGACTCCTCTGCCAGCCTGTTGCTGGACTATTGGCCTGCAGTGCGTGCATCGGCACTTGCGCTTAGGGGTTGAGCCTTACCAGCTGACAAGTGGATAAGCCCGGCTAGAAGGGATGACCAATTATGCGATGGCATGCAGACATATGCACATATGATTATACTACATTCGGATTTGTTACACCTGACAGGCCGGTTCTAGCCATTACATATGCCCCGAACATATTAAAATTTATAATGGAGCTAACAACATTTTATTCTGAATATTAGATTAGGATTTTTTAAAGCTTTACTTTGAAGA